TGTAATTAGAATTGAATAAAGATATAGAAAATACTTGGCATGGTCGAATATTACAGCTGTGATATTAAAACCCATGAAGAAGTAATCAATAATCTTTGCATTTAATTTTACGAACTTGTGATTTTATTAGATGATTTGATGTACAAGAAACAATTTACGCAACGTAACTGGAAAGCTGTTGAAGTGTTTACATATGCACACGACATCTATTACAATTTATGAAATTCGCTGAATATTCGTTAGATTCCCTTCAAGATTTTGCATATGCATCTTATCTGACCAAAGGTATATCTGCATTTGAAATGTTATATTACTTGTTAACAACAAGGTGAATATTTTATACTAATTGAAACGGGAACCTGCAGTGGCTATGTTACTGATCAACCGCATGAAAAGATGATGTATGTTTGGCTAAAAAGTCAATTATTGATAACCTACGTTTTAAGTTCGCTGTGCCTTGGAAACCTCCTACCAAGTCTTGTTCTAACTCATGCCTACAGCTATTTACGCAACAAGTTAATGGCTTGTTGGACGTTCTATCTAATTTTGCCCCACCCACAAGTTTTCAAATTATTACTAGAGAACCCTGAAGCAAAAACCTGTCAGCGGTACTACTGGCACCAGATATAGATGGCAATGAACATAAGAAAGTTTAAATTCAATATATTGAGCAGTGTGGAAGGTTAAGTGCGTACATACAAACAACAGTTTGGCACATTAAACGTCATTTAGAATTCCATAATACAATATTAAATTTATTTCACAAAAAAACTTTAACTACCAATTGATATATATATATGATGGTACATTATTATGGAGAAAACCGTTTTAGTTTTCTCTGTAGAACAGTTGTAAAATTCTATTGTCATAGATTATGTTTTATGCAGACTTATAAAAAATAAATAGATGTTTCAGCGGTGACATTTTAACATAGAATCACCAATTCCTTCTTTTTTTTTTGCTTTTGTTTTTAAAATTAATATTATGATGCATAAACTAAAGAAAATGTTCAGAAATGTAAAACATTTGACTTGGTTATGTGCTATACTTGAAAAGATAAGTGCTGATACTGAAATGCATATTTTATTTATTTATCATTAATATAAAATATTTTAATCTTCTTAAAAAGCAGATAGAAAACTGATTTCACATTTCAATTAAATTACCAATTATATATAAATAATTAGACTATCTTCAAAGAAATATTCACAAATCATACCAGCTAAAATATTCAATAATACTGATTTATATGAATAATGAGATATAAAGACAATAAATTACGTCTCTAATTTTCTCTTTTTGTGAATTATGATGATCGGTAAAAACTAAACAAATATGCTATGAATATTTGAATTTATTGTGACTAAATAAGTATACATTTTTAATGTTATATTTTCCTTTGCCAAATTTACTTAATTATATTGTGTCTTGTGCAAGCTTGTACCTGAAAAGTGGTCTTCTAAAGCTAGATATAACAATGTTTTGTCTGATGAAGCTAGACATAACATGGTTTCACATAAACACTTATTGGTCTGCTAAAGCTACAGATAACAATGTTAACCATAAACAATGATTTTTTTTTTCAGAGCAGATAATAGTGTTATTCAGTGGACACCAAATATCTAGAAAAAAATAATAACTTATATGCTTGTTAAATTTAGTTTAAAGATAAATGTGTTACGGAAAGCAGATTTTGAAAATAAACATTCATCGTTTGTTTTCACTAGCTTCTAATTGTAAAATAAAATACACAATCAGAGGATAAACAGATAATTATACAGCATATACGCCTTGAAGATAAAATGCATTGCATTTATCGTCCTCAAACTTTGAAGTATTTACTTCTTATTGTTAACTTGTATTTTAGCGCCATCTAGTAATGAACATGAAAATAAGAGTTCAATAAAAGAAATTGTAACATTTGTGCAACAACGAACTATTTGGTCCTTCAAGCCTGGTCTTTCACACCTTTTATAACGAAAAACAAAACACCCTTTATTGTTCAGAAAATAATCAATTCCACTTTTAAGTTGCTGTAATGTTCTGTCAACGGCAACTCATTCCATAAGCTAATCATCGTGTTCAAAAAACTTTACTTGAGCACTTAGCCTGTCTTTTCCAAATCTTAAACACCTGTCCCCTCATCCCATTATCCTCAGGGTGCAGCACAAAGAAACCAGGGATCTCTATCTTTTCGATCCCCTGGATAGCCTTGTAAACTTCAGTAAAACCATATCTTAACCTATCCCTATAAGATAACCCTTCCTTTCCCAGAATCTTCCTATTAACCCTCTTCTGAGCCGTTTTCGATAATATTCTTTCTTCGGTAATGATGCTAAAATTGTATATAGTATTCTCTACCCACTGACTACATTTTTGAAACCAACACCATCAAATTAACCCGAATAATTTTATTCCAGTAGCAAATTTTTGTTGTCCAGTGTAATCCTTCATTTTAGCCTTGGATTCTGCTAAATACTTTTTCTAGTAACTTGATGTAGTGGGCACTCGCGAAAGGCGCACGTGTCTTTTTGCATTACCGCATCTCTGAAAGCGTTCTTTAACTTTTCAAGCAACTCTTCTGATTTGCAAGGCCCGGCATGGCCAGGTGGTTAGGGCGCTCGACTCACAATCTGCGGGTCCTTTCAGCCGTGGGGGCGTTATAATGTGACGGCCAATCCCACTATGTGTGGAGAAAAGATGAGTAGGTTGTCGTTTTAATGTTTGTTTGTTTTCAATTTCACGAAAAGCTATTCGAGGACTATCTGTGCTAACAGCCCATATTTAGCAGTGATAGACTAGAGAGAAGTCAGCTACTCTTTTACCAACTAATAATGAGATCTACCGTCACTTATAATACCATCACGGCTGAAAGGGCGAGCATGTTCAGTGATGTGGATTCGAACCCGCAATCCACAAATTGTGGAATATATTGGTCAGAATACAAACCGAACATGTGTAGAAAATGTATTTTCTTTAATTTATAAATTATAATTTAGTGAATAATCTGAATTTTACATTTGTGGATTACATTAATCGAACTTATAACATTGTATAGTCACTATTATAAATAAGGTGTTGGAATATACCATGTTAAATTTTTTCTTTCTGAATTTATTCCTTGTCCAACTTTATATGTGCAGATTTTATCATAACACGTGGTCAAGAAAACCATTACGTTTATCTTGTTTCAAATTAACATTGTTCCTTTGTCATTTTTGAAGTTGGTAATACCTGTTACTGCCCATGGAAAACATTGCTTATAGCACCCTTTTTTTTGAGGAAGTCTTCAACAAATTCGTCAGTGGTTATACAAATAATATCTGGAGTTTACAACCTCTCCTACGTGTAACAAGACTAATCAGCAATGTGCTATCCCATGTCGTGCTCAGTAAATGTGAAGTTTCTTCAAAGCTAGAAACCTTGCGCATTTAGTGAGTCTGATGAATGGTCCAATTTAGAAACATCTTGAAGAAGCAACTGTCAAATATAAAGCAAGCACGTACGCACATTATGTTTGCCGTTGTCCAAATAAAGGTGGTTTTCATTGTGTTTTACAAATCATTGTTTGTAATAACTATTTGTAATAATTGTTATTGTAAATTGTACTGTTGTGTGTATATTAAAACGTGTTTGTGTTAAAAAACAAAGATGGTGTGTATCAATCTTGTTGGCAAATATCGTAAATTGACTAATATATTGGCGTTTATTTAAATACTAAATCCAAAGTACAGTTTAACTACTAAATTTAAATTATTTAACTCGACTTCGGACTATTCGAAATTCTAATACGTAACACCATACATGTCAAAATCGCATTGAGGTACAGAGAAAATGAGACGTTTTAATACTTTTATTGTCTCTGACAGAGTAAAAAAATATATATAAAATTTAAAAACTGGAATGTCTGGCAACACTGATATTCAGCGGAGCTATCCCATTGCTATAGGAATAATCATTTTACCTGAATATACCTCAACGGCAACTAGGTATGAAATTTGCGTAAACACTTGGTAAAAACAAGGTTCAAATATCAGTTATTAAACCAACTCCAATGAACAGAGAAAATCATTTGGTTTATAAGCAAGACTTGCGTCTCATTAAACGATAGTCTTGCGCATGAGCATAATACTAATACTGGTTTCGTGTTAAGTTCCAGAGTCTAGACGTTTGTATTTGAATTCATTATCACTGTTAGAGCGTTAGATACATATTAGTTTTGGATAGCAGATGTCTATTGTTTGTGAAGTTTAAGAAAAGTTTAATAAGGATAGGAGAGTATGGAAGCAGGTGGTCCTTTAGCAACCAGAGAAAGTGTTCCTTTGTCTTCCAGTTTAGTTGGTGACGTATACATAATCTCGATGTTACTATAGTTACGTATAACTAAGTTGAACCTGAAACGAGGAAGGCCTAGAAAAATTTATGACGCTAATGAAGATTTAAAATTCCTTGACATAGTTCATACTCAAAATTCTGGGGGATAGTACTTTATACATCACAATTTTTAGTTACAGGCTATGATTAATAGTTGAGAATGGAATGTACTCTAACAATTTATTAACAGTGCACCAAGAACTCGAAGTTGAAGTGTATTACCCAAGTTTCCGAAAGTTATCGTACCTGTCGCTAGGCCAGGTACGCTAACTTAAACCTAACATTAGGTTTATATCATGTCATTAACTGCCCACTTGGTTAAAGATGCAGGTGTAATTCTTCTCTTGCTGCTAGTGTCCATGCTAGGTGATGGGTTATTAACAACAGGAATTATTCAACAGAGTGACTTCCTTCGTGCACTGATTGACAACATTACACATGGCTTAATAGCTGTAATTAGTTGGGTCCTTGTTGCAGTTAGCGGAACAGCAACAAGATCTGATGAGCCATCTAGTATTTTTCTGAAGAGTTTATTAGCTGAAGCACTCCTATGTGGACTTATAGCCTGTGTAGTTGACCTGGACCATTTTATGATGGCCAAGTCATTTAGACTAAAGGTACTAAATACTATATATCATGTCAGTAAAACGTTTGCCTTCTTAATACATATATTTGTTGATATATCATTATACGTTGTAATGGTTAACGAAATTAAACCTAATTAGTATTTATGCTTGATAGTTAATTCGTTAGTTTTTATTATTAAAGATTGATATAGATTATTTACAAATGTAAGAAAGTATTACTTTATTCCAACTAGAGGATAGCAGGTTCACATCTATTTACAAGTTCTCATATTTTGATTTTTTATTGTACTACAAAAATGTTTGGCTGGGCAAAAATTATTTATTATTGTTTGCATCAAAATATTTTAGTATTAAAATTATGCAGTGAATCATTATTTAACTTGTGTCGTTTCAGCATGTTATCAATATTTTTTTTACCTAACATTAATCATGGTTTATTATGAAATTTTGTCATTTCTATCTGTTATCTAGCAAAACTGGAAAACAAGATTAATATTTATAATGTTGGACTAATTGAGGAAATATATTTCTCTATAGGATGCACTCAACTTAGGAAGTCGCCCACCATTTCACTGTACAAGTGTACTATTTCTTGCATCATTTTTTATAGTTATTTTTGCAATTATATTGAAAATTTCCTGGTTGGTTAAGCTTGGATTGTTGTTTACTGTAGCAGTGTTAAGCCATCATCTCAGGGACAGTGTGCGTCGCGGATTGTGGTTATGGCCTCTAGGTTCCACCAGACCTCTTGCTTATTGGTTGTACTGTATTCTTCTTGTTTCTTTACCACTTTTAGTACAGATATTAATAAGATGCATTGACTCATGGCAACAAACATCTCCTAAATCCTCAAAATCAACAAATATACTTCTGGTATAGAAGAAATTAGCTTTGTACTTGAAATAGTTTGTAATGTTACACAAAAGTAAAGTAACAATAAGTTTTATATTTGAATATATTTTTTCAACAGAAATTGATGTACTGTACAAATAAATAATAGAAGGATCTTTATTTCGTTTCATAACAATCAACAGTTCAATAATAATTTGTGATATTAATTTTTAATATGAAGTTTAATTAAATTCTTAGTGACCCTGCAAATTTAAAGAGCCTTTGACCTATACTGAAAAAATAATGTTTAACCTTCTGTGAAAAAAAAAATATATAAAAAATCCAGAAAATTTTTTGTTGTAGGTTTTTAATTGCCATAGACATCTGAAGTGCTATGTACATACAGTGTATCTTTATAATAAAAATAATTTGGTATGATACAATGCACTTGCTTGAAAACACTATACATCAGTTTTTCGTTACTGACTGTATACGATTATGGAGAAATATTTTTTAAGAAAACTAACACAGAACTGATCAACAGGTGCAAGTGTTTATTTTTTTGATAACACATTACAAATATCAGGCACATATATATGAACATATTCAAATATTTCTGAAACAGTGCATTGCTTACATGTATGACATGATATCACAGTTATTACAAAAGACACAAGTCACCAGCTATTCATATCTGAAATTTGTAATTTCAAATAGAGAATACATAGTGAAAATAAGTCTGCTATAAACAATGTTCATAGTGCCAATAAAATAAAACTTTTGAGACTGAGACTTTGAAACAAAAGTATATTTTCCTAAAGGTGTGTAAAGTGTATGGTATTTTCTCTATACTTTATAAAGTTGTCTTTTTTTTTAAATAACAGTATCAACAGCACATCACCTTATTTAACTTTTAATTTCATTATTTCTTTGAAATATGGCACTATCTATATTCAGTCAGTCAATGAAAAATCCTTATGTAATATTCACATGCAAGTTTTCATATCCTTATGTAATGTTCACATGTAAGTCTTCATACTGATTGAGACTAACAATATATAAAATATACATGCATTATGATGAAAAAATATATGACTGCTATAACACATGTTAATGGTACTTTTAATTATTTCTAATTAATTTTTCATAATGCTGTGCAGCAAGGAGTTGTGAAAAAACAAATCAATGTTGTTATAACTCACGGAATATTCTTGACAAGATATGTAGATGTTTTCTTTTTTCCAATTGATATTTAAGAAGATATGTTACAGACTTAATTTTTATTTGGTTTTGGCTTGCTTCTCTGGTGTAAAGTCATTAATTTAAAAGACAATGACAGTTGTTTGAAAAATGTTGGTATTTTAGCATCGTTAAATTTAGCATACTAGTTAAAAAAAATTTTGACAGTTTTCTATCAAAGAAAATCATTGAAAATATATATAATTTTTAAAACGATGACCAAAACTAAAGGTATTGTTTCTGATGTTTATGGTATGAAAACTGAAGATATTCAAACTTTCTAATAGCTTTCCACAATAACTATATTAACTTTTAAAATCCATAAAATCAACTAACCTTCCCCAAAAACATCATTAATAGAGCTGGAAGATTAATCGAAAGTAGTTTCCAGTTATTTCAGCTATCCAAGTCTCAAGTGAAATTAAAGCTCTGGACACAGAGTCACATTTAAAACTTAATCAAATTATAAGAAATGTTTGTCAATAAATCTTTTATATCAAAAAGAAAAATTTAAATAAATTCTCATTCTTCACTTCCCTGAGCCATGTGACCCTTTACACTCCTAATTCTCATTTTCAGGTTTTCTTTCTTCCCTTATATGGATTTCATAGACTCCACCAATTAGCTACATAAACAGTAGATATTTACAGGCCAGAAAATAAAACTGAAAACCTCCAACCTTCTTTATTTTCTGAGATATCAATTAATTTATCACACCCACCATGAAAGTTTTTCCTAACTCTTCGTGCTTTTGAAATTTACTTATTTGCTCATGCCTAGTTGTGCATGGTACATGTTTAAAATCAATGGAAAGGCCATTTTGTGAACTACGTAATCCTCACAATATATGTTTGTCTGTATGGTGAAAGTCATTATTTCAGTGCTCTAAATATTAATGGAAATTTTTAACCAATTTATAGCTTAGTTAGAAAGCCAGAAAAATTATAGTAGTTTTGAGCCATTTTATTTTAGTTCATGATATATTTGTTTGCTCTAAAATGCATTTTCGAAAGCTGAATGAATTATTTTTTGACAACAAACATAATCATAAAAAAGAAGGCTTACAAAAGCAGGCACTTGAGTTCAAACCAGCTAAGGTAAATGCTAAATATCTTTATACGTAAATTGTTCTTTTATTGATATATATATTTTTAAACTTAAGTAACTAAAATGTAAAAATTTAAAACTTATTAGGTTATACCAGGGAACTTTAAAAAAAAATTAAGTACAAACTTTTTGTGGTCACTGCTTGAGAAATGCACAAAGAACATATGAAATCACATTTTGTTTACCCTAAACTATTGTTGCACTCCAGCTGGGTGATATCATGCTTGTTGCAGTGGTTATACATGGTACATATAGTAATAAAACAATAAAATTAAACAAAAGCAGTTGTGAAATGTTGAGATCTAAAACTCTTAAAATAAATAAGTGTAATTTTGTGTTACAACCTGCAGTCATTCTAGAAAAACACAATAGGTACTTTTTATTTTATTCCATATTTTTCAATGTTCACTACAGATAATTTTGCTGCAGTCAATGTTTGGGTATAGAAAATAAGGTATAAATTTTACCAAAAAATATATATATATATTAATTTAGAAGGTTCTAAAGGTTAAGCTAATGAAATATAAAAACTGTAAAGTAGAAAGAAATATTGTTTTTCTTAGCATGTAAAATCATCTTTCGTCCAGACTGACTCAATAAAGTCTTCATATATATTCACAGACAAATCTTTAGTAAAATTACTTTATTTAAAAACCTGATGTTTTGTGTACAACAGACTTTTAATGTTTATTACAAGCTTGCCAAATTTTGTGAAGATACATTTAGTTATAGTATGTATAGTTTCATGGTTACAAGGTTATTCAAAAATGACTTAGCCTTTATTCAGAGAGATAGTTGAATGTAGTTGATTAACCCCTTCTGTATTAGGTTTGTTGTTATATTTTAATAGGTTCGAAAGAAGTCACATTTTTTATTTCTCCTTTTGATAACCTATAATTATATATTAATGAGACAAAAGTTATTTTATTATATTTCTGCACAAAATATACTCTATAAATATATGTTACATCTAGATTTGTATGTGATAAATATTACTGCATTGAAACTACAGTAAAGAAAATGAATGCTTCTCTTCAGTGTTTATGATATATAATTCAGATTAGACCTAACAGAGATCAATACAAACAGCATTTCCAATTCCATCTGGTGGGCACTGATTGTAATACATAACACGTGAATAAATTCAGGCGAGAAATTGTTTGCCTGAATTAACTAGAGCATATATTTTTTGAAACACAGAGAGTACCCGAGTTATCTCACAGAAATGATTAATGAGCCTGATGATTAATCTATTATCAAATTTCACTAAATATCTAGCTCTGACCAATACAAGCTATGTTCTACTTAAAGTTATTTCAAATTATTTTAAGAAAATGAGTACTGTATCCATGTGAAAATATATTTGTCAATCCAACAAATCAGAAAATATAACTCAAAAACAACTCCAAAAATTTTACCCCATGTAACTGGGCTGATCACCGTTGAACAAAGTATATGTAGCATAACTTTCAAACATACTAATATTTATTTTATATTATTTAATAATACATATATTCATAAAGTTGGTTGGTACACTATGGATAAATCTCTTGGGTTTTCTATAAATGAATCCTTCAGTTTTAATAGAAGTTGCATGTGTTATAATACACAGAACACTAAAAAGTCAATCAAATAAAATTCCAGTGGGAAGCCCTAAACAGATAAACTTCAAATAAATTTGTTTCTTTCATCATTTATAACACACGTTTTGTGAATTTAACGTAATATAAAATAAACATAAAACTATTAACATATTCTTATATGGAAACCTAAAAAAAAAATCACATAACTTTGAAAAGTAAATAATCACATAAATAAATATATTATTTAACTTTAGTGAGCAATTTTAGGGCTTTAAGATATAAAATAATATCAATAACTTTTATTAGAAGATAATACACAGTTTTGTAAATCCTAAATTTCAAACAATTGACTAGAATACAACATTGCTGAGATACAACAAATATTAATTAATCTATTGCTTTTAGTTCCCATAAATTCAGATTAAAAAGGCAGCCACTTCTAAAAAATAATTTCAAACCGTTCCTGTGCTAACTGATGTCCTTTAATACTTTTCTTATAATATTTGTTTTAATAACCTTTATATTTCAAAACATTTAATGACTAGTAGTTACTGTTTAAGATCGAATCCTCAGGTACAATGATTTAAATACATATTAAGGCCTAGAGTCAAATATATATTTTCACATCAAACTAACTAAGTATTTCAGCAACCAAAAAAATACTAATGTTAGACTGATGATTTTAATATCAGTGTAATTACATAAACTTGCTTTTATCAAAATGACATTACTACAATAAAAGAGTTTACTACAACTTAATAACATACTGCATCTAACAGTTGAAGGATCAGAAAATTCCATCTTCTTTCTACCATATTAACTGTCAATGAAAGGGTTTACACTAAATTATAATAAAAATAAATGCTATAGGCAGTCCTTATCAAGATTGTTATACACATTCATCAAAGAAAATTAACGGTATTATTCACTTACTAATTTTGACTCCAGGCTATATAAAATTGTTCTTGGTATGTAATAGAAATAGTGGTATTAAAACAATGTATTAAAATCATTTCATCAAGAAATTAGGAGGAAGACGACCTTGGTAACAGCATAAAGAAATAATTTCATTTATCTGTTTTGTTAAATGCATGATAAGTTTTGAATTTGACGCAATTTGCCTTCCATCTTTCATGCATCTAACCATACCAATCTTTCACAAAATAAGCTAATATCATTTTTTTTGTACTCTTCCTGTGAGTAAACCTTGACAGGTGGCATGTTTTTGTTTATTCAGCACTGGAAGCTACAGTTATGGTCTATTACACAGATGACCCAAATCATATTTCTGATCCTTCACAGCTACAAGTTTAAATAAGACAACACATTAATACTCCTAAAGAGTGACGTATTCAACAACTGCATATTTTATAACATCAATACTTCAACTGTCCTGTTGAGAAAAAACATATTTTTAAAGGATAGAATGAGTTTCCACATCCTTAGAAAATAATAAAGAAACAAACGTGCATACATATTTGATAACAGTTAGCTATGCTCAGGTAAACTTTGAAAAACCTGAATAATGGTATATTGAATATCAATCATACATTTTTTATTCACATAAAATACATTAAAAATTAAATTATTATGAACAGATTCAGGACTTTTAAACACAGTTCACAAATACAATCACATATCATAATAATTTGTTTTCAATTTCATTTTTTAAAAAATGCCAAAAACAACTGATGAGCATTAAGATAAATACTGAAGAAACCAATAAGTTAAAAAAGGGCTCAACAAACTAATAAAAATAACAGATAAAACAACCTAAGAAAACAGTAGACTAGCAAAGACTAATTTTCTTTAACTGACAGCTAAGATGGCCATATGCTTATTACATCCAGAAGTTGAGATGCTACTGAAGAAAAGCAGGTTTCAGAAACAACCATCAAGGATGAATCCTCATCACCCAAACAAGTCTCCTCTTCATATTTGTCTGAAAAATTTGAAATAAAGATGTACAGAAGAAATATTACATGCTACTGAAGTAAACAATATCCACATTTTCTGTCATTCAGCCCATAATATATATTTCTAATTTCCATTAAAAACTAACCTTCCTGAAAATTAAACATGTTAACACTGTTCTCTAAAATACAATTCATTCCAAAGGAAATACTGTGGTTTACTTTAATATTATATTTTTACTACAAAAATTATCAAAAATCTTATAGTGTAAGTATAAGAAATAAAATAAAAATATGATAAAAGACAAAGTGATTTACTTTCTGCATATACACAAAATATTTAAAAATTTCCTGCAGGCATATACATCAACTATTCCTGACATAACATTATTTTCCTACCAAGTTAGCATGAGGAATTATTGTAACAGGAAAAGCTTATGAATGCAATAAATATATTTGTTTTTCATTTCAAAACTTCCTGCTGGGTTTATTTCCCCTTCCTGTGTTTGTACATTGTCCACTCCTAAAAGGATTTGGGATAGAAATATTTTAATTTACTGGTTTTTTTTTTCTGTGTAACAGTTACGAGATTTCCTCACAATGAAAAATGTTAGATAAAGTAAATTAACCTGCCTTCTAGGAAGGAACTTAACTTTGATTATTTTTACTCAGAAGCTATCAACTATTGTAAGGTATACATACTAAATAAAAAGCAAATCTTAAAAGTATACTACACAGCAGGCATCAGTATCAGACAGTAAATAAAATCTGAAATCATGGAAACATTTAATATGGACAACATTAAGTAAACTAGATGCATCACACAAATATACATTTAAACATAAATATGATAAAAAGTGAATGATGACTTTGGGAGTATAACATTAGGGAAAGGAACAAAAAACTTTCTCCCACATACAATCTGTTGGTAAGACTTCATTAACTCTACATTATATAAATTAATATGTACTTACATATAAGCTTTTCTAGAAGACTCATCAATCGATCTTTCTCTAATTTTGTGAGACAATCAATTGAAGAACCAGGCCCACAACAGTAGTTCCATAAAACCTGACTAACAAGTCCACTAAGTGTCCAGTCCTGCTGACCAATATCCTCTAAGATATCCAGCAGTCTAAAAAATAAAAACTTTTAATCACTTTCTAAAGATACGTTTCAATTACTAAATAGATACATCACATATAACTACTATCTCTATGTATTTGTTGTTGTTGTTTAACTTGTAAAGTTAGGGCAATGTCGTAACAAAATTTACAGATTTTTCAGGATTATTTTTATTTTCTAATTTAACATTTGTAAGTTTTAATATATATATATAGTTATCTCAGGTTTGATGATAATCTTTGAAGTATTATATCAAAATACTTATGTAAAATTAAAATCTGCTTGCTACTACAGTTTGATAAAATCACAAAACCTGTAAATGAAATATGCTTTTAGAATTAAAAAAATCATAAATTTTAAACTGAATTTTTTTAAGCCTGTTATAGTACAGAGAGTTAATCACATTATACGAATACTTTGTACATGCTAATACAATGTTTGGTGAATGTAAACTGTGGTGCTACAAATACTCTTATGATTATAAGGCTATGTCACTGCCCTTTCCCAGGAAGGACATTTATATAATGTGATTGCTAAACAATGTATATCCAAATAACACAACATTTCAAAAAAGGGAGCCTTCAATGTTCTTTATTAGATGCATAAAACCAAACAACAAAGTATTTAGGATAGGGACGGGCTCCTAAACCGCTCCTCAAGCCACTACAGAGCAACATTCTCATCCAAAAAGTGAAGGATATGGTTATAAAGTTAAGCTACCTTAACCCGAAAAGATCAGTGTAATGAAGATGGTCATATTTCCAAATATTAATAACAAGATAATATACAAGGCTTTGAAGTTAAAAAAGGCTCAACAGTTAAAAGTTTGCAAGATTTTGGCAATATCTGACATTCATGAGAAAGATTGCAAAGAAACTAAAATCACTGCAATTTCATTCACCCACTTACCTGTCAAAAGTCCCCTGATGTATTTGTGGAAGCTGATGTACATGTACATTGACATGTCTGTGTAAAGTTTGACTTGTGGTTTAAGATTGACCATACCAACCTTTAATAAAAGCTTGTTACAATGAAATTTGTGGTATTTGGAAATAGAAAGTAACCACAATCATCATGACTGATGATAGAGGAAGTACTTTAAAAGGGCAGTATAGAACCTGGAACATTATTCTTATACTGTGTGATTTATCCTGAGTTTTTGCAGTGTTTTCTTTATCTGATTAAATGACTCAGGCTATAGATTGAAGAATTTATTGGACCCTGCACTATATCAAATTCTTATTCAATATAAATTTATTGCAAAACTTCATAAACATCAATAACCCTTCTCTATGTTAATTTAACTTTTGTATTATAAAAACCATAGTAAATGGATATACATGTACAAAGACAAAAAAAAGCTTACAAAATACTTCAACTATGATTAATGATAAAATTTAATTTGTTGATAAACCCTACAAGTTACACAAATCTATTTCACATAAAAAACCTTTCCAACTGAATTATGTTGAAAATAAAAATTGAAGAAAAATGCTCAAGAAACAATCTATAGCCTAATTGCACAAATTTCTAACATTTATTATGTGAAAATGTAATCCAAACTTCTAAAGATGTATTTTGAATTATTCTGAACTTGGCAAGTAAAGGTTTATCAAAATCTTATATACAGGATTGAGTACATTAAATCAAAACTATTTTGAATATTCACATCAGCAACCACAGCCGACATAAAGCTGCAGAAGAATGGTAAATATCAAAACTACAATTTGACATTGTTTGTTGCTTTGTAGGTAATGTGAAGCAACAAAAACTTATCGAATTTGAGGTTATGTAACAGCCCTTTCTGATGCAAAATATTCATACACACAATTCTAAAAATGTGTTCAGGTCAGGAATTTAGAATTTTTCAGCTGGGGATATTCCTTATACTTAATGACATTGGAAAACAAAGGAACATGGATCAACTTGGGGCACCAGGATCATCCAGAAAGAGTCCTACAAGAAGTCATACCTCAGTTATGGTAAGCAAAGTGTGTAATCTTGTAACAGCTGAGAATCTACAAACATAAAAGTGGGAAAAGCTGTCTATGTGCCCCAGGCAACAGTATGAAACATAATCAAGAAGGATCTCCATCAAAAAAGGTGGCACAAGTCACAGGTACACAAATTACTTTCACAACATATCAGTTCAACTGTTGCATACCTCAAGCAGCTGGAGAATGAAATGTGTATTCATGCTATTCCATTTGAAGACATATACCTGTCAAGTTGTGAGATGCAGGGCCTATAGATTTCTATGTGATTGGACTGTTGAAATTGGCACTGGGAAACTATCATCTTCAGACATTATGGATTATAGACAGCTGCATGGAGGAAGGGTGTGCTCTGAACATGACAGCTTTATGACAGAGCCTTCTGCAATAAAAACTATTTTCAGGGTTACTTTCAAGATACACAGTCATCACTTAGACCATGACCATATGCAGCAACATGGACTTTAATGATTATGTGAGACTCCAAAATCATTTTAATATAATGTACTCAAACTCTAAAAAACATACTGTGACAGTATTATTTACTTAGGAACTCCTTTCAACTGACAGAATGGCTCTTTCTTGTCATCATCTCCAAGGATATTAACCAGAATCCCACATACTGCCAGTAACAATTCTGTAATCCTTGTTTCTACCAGGTTTACCAAAATCGAAAGAGCTGTATGGAAAAAGTAAATACTAAGAGAAGAAAACCCTTTAATTTTGAAAAAAGTCATATTTATACAAAACACTATTTTGTATTGATACAAATCACTATTTCCTCAGAAAAATACATTCTATTTGTATGTTTTATTAAAATGAGGACACACAATAAAGACAAACTAAATAATACCACATTTGAAAAACTGTGAACATTAAGTATTAATTTTATTTAAATGTAAAAATGTACACTTATATACTGGCTGTCCAATCCTCTTATATTAAAAGTTTTATACAAAAAGCTTAAAAAGTTTATGGGTACAATAAGCTTTAGTTTTGTTCAGCCAATACTTTGAAATAGTCATTGTTAATATTCAGACATTCTAAAGGTGGTTTTAATTGGGTGATATTTATGACTGCTATTTTGCTTCATTACAATACTTACTATTAAGTACTACCATACTTAATGATATATTCACAAACATACAAGTAATGACTCACTACCTTTAGAGGTTACAAGGAAATTTCTCACTAATGAAAATCTTGTCAAGTTTCCAAAAATTCTGCACACCTCTAGACAAATATCCTCTTTTGTGTCTAACAATAATGGAAGAATACCTGAAAATGAAAAAATTTTCATTTTATATATACATACTAATGATATGACTCCACTTATGGTTGTAAAAGTCCACTATTTCAATGTCTGGGTCTACCAAATTTTGAGTTTGACCTACAGTGAATACCAACACAGGGCTAGTGGGGTTCTGTTTGGATGAAATGTACACGTGTGTAAAATCAAACTCAATTTTTAATTACTAACATTTACAAAAATTCTACTTCTTTTTCTTTCCAAATTATTCAAAAGCAACTGTCACTGAAATTTTTATAAGTTCAGTAGCCTGTTTATCAATATCAACAATACGCTAATTCATCATAGTCATGATATACATATACATGCGACTCAATTACTAACTTGAATATTAAAATATGCAGTTATTTAGTTTCATGTTTATAAAATTTTCTAATCTAAGTGATTATTTTTTAAGGGAATTAGAAAAGCTATTTTTTAATAAAAGGTTTTATGATCCAAGACGAACCAGCTACGTTTGAGTGAAATTAGTTGGATCACTCATTCAAAACTCTGTAGCCTTTTTTCTAGATGCAGTGAAAATGGCAAGGTGTTCTAAGTATAGGATCACTGTGAGGTTGTTTTCATTTTGTCACATACATTACGTATGTGAAGTTTGAATGCTGTACAAATTTAGTGTTGAAATTTGTTTTCATTACAAACTCAAATGAATAACTTAATGTCTTATCTCCATTTCTCAGGTGTATGACACTAGTCAATAGCCTAGGACCATTCTATCCACCAGGTGGCGGTGCTGTCGGTAATCTGGATAACCTGCCCAGAATTGTTTTGCTTTTCTATAGTCTGAATTAAATCATATTAATTTCAATACGTCACAAATACCAATCTATCACATATATAGATTGGTTAACCTGCCTAAAGAATTTAAGTCTGTATCAAATATACTGACATTGTAACAAATAAGATATGTATATATATATATTTGCAATATGTAATAATTCAGTCATTATAATGAAAGAAAAAATAACTTAGTTAATATAATTTTAGTTTAGGCAAGTAAATTTTTCATGCCTACTAGACTGAAGCTAGTGCATATTTTTTTTCTTACATCCCTAGATATCCAGATCTAAATGCCTCTTCTAACCCACATGTACAGAAATGAAGACTGTTAGATCCATAATCATATTAATCAATATATATTTTCATTTCTCATTGCTGTAAGTCAAAAAAAGAAGATAGAAAGTTGTCAAATTGGTAGAGAAAATATAAGAAATTTAAATAGCACTGGTATGTTTAGGATAAATAGGCAAAATAAGAAACATAAACTGGCCAAAAACCTTGAAATAAGAAATGGTAAAGCATCAGGGACTATGTATATTTGCATCTAACATAACAAGTACAGTTATGGTGATAACCTGTGTGTGCCTAGTCAGACTATGGTTGCTTTTGTTACTGAGATGGAATGCACTTTACAGGGCTATGTTTCATGGTATTATGCACAGTGATAAGATCAGAAAAAAACTGTATGCTGCCATCTCCAAATCAGACCTGTCAAACATAATCTATGATCAGAGCAGTTGTAATTTAGAAAGAATGTTCATTATTCATCTACACATCACTGTCAGAATCCAACAAGTACTCAAAGAGCAAATAACTGTCTTCAAAAAAGCTCATACAAAGAGTAATAGTAAAGTTGTCAAACTATTACACCTGCAACGTTAATTAAACCTATTCTGAAAATTCCAGATAATCATTAGATTTTATTATCTTAGGTAATTTAATATGTCAGTTATAAAACAGGTTTTGAATAAATCTTTATTAACAGATGTGATACCATTTTATCCTTGGCATAGTCATTATGGGCATATGCACAAATGATAAGTACTGAAGTTAAAAAAAAAAAGCTTCAGTGGTGGATAATGGTTGTGTTAGATTTTTAAGACAGTTTGTGAAAGCAAGGTGTACATTATAATTATGCAGTGGTATTGGAAAATACTGATAACTTTTTAAATTCTAATCAATAGCTATTTTATACAATGCAATGTAAAGGTAAAAATTTAAGGCCTATCTGATTGTAAAACTTACATTGTAATCTATTGTACATTTCATAAATAATGTTTTATGTCACCATCAGTAACATGTTCCTGTCCGAAATTAGATCTGAGTGATTTTAATCTTCTAGACAAAGTCACAAGTTATATGACTGCTACAGCTAACACTGTTAAAAGTGCTTGTAAACACAGAGCTTGAAACCATACTGTCATGTGTCACAGTCAGTGGGAGTGATCGTTCTTGATGGTCTACTTCTCTGAAAGAAGTTCATTAGAAAATTCATTTAATTTTGAAATATTAGACAACTCAAAGTCATTGATTCTTGAATTACAATAATTTATTTGTGGAATATCTCCCAGTCAAATATATTTATATAAAGATGGAGGTCTTTTTATAACAAAAATGTTTCTTTAATAAATGTTATTTCAGTAAAATTACACATAAAAACAACAACAATTATGTCATGAGAAAGACTGTGTTGGAAATTAAATTAACAAACTTACAGATTTAATTTCGTTTTCATAAGGATTTTTGTGAACCTATCATTACAAAACTACAGTGTTAAAACAAACATATAAGGAAATTATAACTCACATTTAGCTGCAACTGCCTTAGATGAGGTAAAATGGTTCTCAGTAGATAAATAGTAGGATAAGTTATTGAGACATATCAAAGTAGTGAGTACAAGTTCTTCTCCACCTTCCATCTCTCTACTGTCTAGATACACAGCTTGTATTAGACTAAAAGTTTTTGTACACAGATGTTTCATTACATAGCACTAAAAGGTATCATTATTTAAATTTACATGTACCTCACCAACAGATTGATTAACAGAGAAAAGTTAAGTTAAAATGATCATGTTAATAAAACAATGTATCATAAATTTCATTATGCATTTAAACAATAGCTATTTTTAAAATATGTATTTAATGCACATTTATATTTATAAAGTCAAAGAAATTAAAAACAAATAATTCTTGTGTCTAAAAGCAGATGCAAAATTGTTCTATAAAAAAGTTAATTTTGGTTCTTGCTATATTAACATTTACGTTTTGTAGGTAATTAATCAAAAAAGATGTAGACAATTTCCTATGAACTTCTGATCTTTTTTCTTGGTTCGAAGAAAAAGTTTTGGGCTTCATGCTGATTCCTTGGTTTGATCAAATCTGCATTTTGTAAAAAACCAAGAAAAAGCAGCAACAGTTGTTCAAAGAAAACTCAGTCCACATGTTTAATAAATTATTTAAACGTTGATATGATCTTAAGATGCTTACAAAATTCAATGAACAAGGTATGAAGCCACATGTAAATACACAGCCTAAGGACAACTTAATTTGATAAGCTAATATATATGTATTCCTAGATTGTTTGAAACTGTTAATTAAAAAGCTCAAAATAAAATAAATACTTCAGTTAAGTATTTCTTTTCTTCATTCTTCACAGACTAATAATTCTTCCATTTGAAGTAGTAACATTAAATAGTGGCACAAGTTGTCTAAGTATGCACCTTATACTTTAATGCTGTTGAACATTTAAATAAATAAATATATATACATATAGTGTTGAGTACTTTATATTAAAAATATCTGGAATAAGCAAATCAGCAAGTCACTGACAACCACAGCTGATATAAAGTTCCAGTAGAACTCATATATCATAGATGGTGTGATGGTGCTGAAAATTGATTGCTTTTGCAAATGATGTGTAATAGTTCTGTTCAAAGCAAAATATTCATACATTCAGATCATAAAAATTTGTTCAGATCGAGGACTTAGAATTTCCAAGATGAGGATAACTATTGTACTTAATGGCATTAGAAAGCAAAGGAATACGTATCAACTTGAGGCATCATGGTAGGGTGATGAGCTTCGGACTCCAGAACTGTTTTAATGTAACTTAGTCAACTCTCTGTATATATAAATATCATATGGGAGTTAATTTATTTTATTTGTTAAAAAAAAATCTCTTTTAATATTAATATTACGATGCTTTATTCGTACATTGAAACATAAACTCAAATTGACTGTACATGTTTGACAAATGTTTTTTTAATAGCTTAGAATGTACGATTAATTATTTAAATATATTTTCTGTTAATAGTATTTATACAAAACATAACAACTTACCAATGATTCTTAACAGTATGTCCCACAATGTATCACAAGCTGCCAAATGATTTCCTGCTTCTTTGTTAAGGCTCATATTAGCAATAAGTCGTACCGCCTACAAACGGGAAGTTTAACTGGTTATAGCTATGAAATGACTACATGTTGTTAATTCCAAACTAACGATTCAATCTAGTAAAACAAAAAATATATTCAGTGACTCATTATTATGTTGGAGACTAAAAAAATTACAGGAATTTTGCACACTGTACTCTTCATACTGTTGCTTACATTAAGGTATTATGATGGAATTACCTGGCATTTTTTCTCAAGTAAATTAACAAATCTAGGAAAAAATAGCTAATCAATGGTATTATCTAATCATTTTTTAAAGAATTATTTATTTTCATCTAAACAAAAATATTTAATGGAAACTTCCCACGAACATCATTATTCAATACTGGGTTACCTTAACGAGAACATCTTCACAGTCTCTGGGAGGAATACCACAGCATGTTCCTTCGGCTATTCTCTCAGTTTCTTGCTTCACCTGCAAAATTTTGAATGCAAATAATTTTACACTTAAAGCTTACAAAACTCAACAAAATTTAATAACCTTGTTCTGAAATCATTAGCAGTCATTTTGACTTAAGCTTTAAAAAATTGTTTATAAAAAACTCAACAGTTATAAAACTAACCTTTTTGTTACAGAATTGATAAAACTTTAGATCACATAAAATAAATTCTGATTTACCTTTTAAGTATTTTAGGAATTCCAATTTGTTAACACATTTTCTCCTTTTTTTTTCCTAACAGCCTCTTTCAATACTACAAAATCTGTGACACTGTAATAATATATTTTCACTATGATACATTTTCACAGAAAATATTTTTCCAGTAGACATGAACTTGCAAATAATAAATGATCCCTTGGAAATATCTTACCTTTATTTTCAACTGTATATAGTAATCCAGGATAGCAAGGAGATTATTTAAGCTACAAGGCACCTCATAAATTATCAATCCAACATTCTCATCCCATGCCGCAAGATTTCCGAGGATAAAAAAAACCCGTACCACAATATCCTTTAAAAAACAAAAAGTTATGAGTAAGCTTGTTTTCTCAATATTCTCTAAAAAAAACATTGTAAAATTTAATATTACTGAAAGAACTAATTTTTCATGTCAAAATTTACTAGTGCAAAATAAGATCACATTCAGGTTCAATTTTACTTAGTAAGCACACTTAATTAAATTCAAATCCAATTTCTTTAATCTGAATGATAAAATACTGAGTTTACTCACAATATATTCAAAATATTTCACGATTTAGCTGGTATTGTTACCCAGTTTTACAAAACACCATTTCAAAAATTAACGTGTTCTTGTTTAAATGAGTTCCAATAGAAGTGACAGTGAGATATTAAAGCTTACATAGAGATATTTCAGTTTTTCAAAAGGTACTTCAGTGTGAAGTAGCACAACTAAAATGTTGGGTTTTTTAAGATTTGAATTCTTAAGGCATTCTGACATTTTCTCAGTATTTCTTAATTTTTTTGCATCATTTCCAGATTATCTAACTTTTATAGCCTTTGTGTCAGCCTGAATGAATGGAAAAAGGACAACAAACTTTAAATATTTCAATTACTGAAAATATTCAAAAATTAAAATTAGTTTACTTGATTTTGCTTGTGTTGTTGGAGAAGATCCATTAGAATTAAACAGGAAGATCCACAAACCAGCAACATTTCACATGATTGTTGTAGCACTGTAAGTTTGCTAGAATTGATAAGGTTAATTTTTTTTTCCAAGTTATATCAAAGAGCAAGAAACAAAATCCATTTTTTATAACAGAGAGATTTTGAAACAAAACCAAAATACACTTATACTATTCAGTAAAATATAGATATATTGTGGTATTCATTTTTATTAAAACTCTCATATCTTTCTATTAGTTTATAGTGAAAGAGCATTCTAGCTAGATTTAGTACTCAGGTTTTACATGTTGTAACAATTCCATATACTAATGAGCTGTGATCTCTGCTCTCACCATTCTAGCTAGATTTAGTACTCAGGTGTTACATGTTGTAACAGTTCCATATACTAATGAGCTGTGATCTCTGCTCTCACCATTCTAGCTGCAGGTTTTACATGTTGTAACAATTCCATATACTAATGAGCTGTGATCTCTGCTCTCACCATTCTAGCTAGATTTAGTACTCAGGTTTTACATGTTGTAACAATTCCATATACTAATGAGCTATGATCTCACCATTCTAGCTGGAGGCTATGAGAATGCTATCAAATGAAAATTTATATGTCTTTAATTACAGAAGAAAGCTTGGCATACGAAAGAGAAGTATACTTTTCAATGAAACCCCAATCAACTTTCTCTTACATCTAAGGCCATATAAAGGTCCTAACTTTTATGCATAACATTTGTTATCATCAACTTAGCTGAGCTGATGAGAGTATGGTATTTTCAGGTCAAACGTACTTCCCTTTGAGTAACAGGATAGGTCTGCAAAATAACAGGATGCTTGACCAAGATTTTTATTATGAAGCAATTCTGGATTCTCTAGCTTTGATCGAGTTTGAGAAAGAAATACAGAAACTGGAACTAACTGCACAAAAACACAAGGAACAATCTTTATTCAAGACACAAGCGCACTATATTTATTTATGAGACATGTTGAATGGTCACTGTTTACTTAAGAGCCGGATTCAGCAATATATCATTTTTCCTTATTATGCTCACATAGGTTTCTTGACTTCTGAGCCCCATATTTCACCCTCTCATTAACTTGTATTACTTAGATATTCTGAAACATTATGAAACACTGTATGAAGATGTTTTTCTGTTAAAAACTAGGTCATACACTCAAAACTGCGGGTTTGGCATTACAGTAAATGATGAGGTGTAGTAATCTAAACTCACATACAGGCATTTGATCTATACAAAACCTGGACATTGGATGTGGGACATGGAAGGATAAGTGTAGTGATCTGTTACAGGCAAAATTATAGTGACAAGACATAGTGTTGAAGACAAGGTAAAAAAAATGCTTTACTGAAGCAAAATATATGGTAATTGGTCATCTGGTGATAGTAGGATTATTGCAAATAAAAGAAATGTAAATAAATGAAAAGATTTATGCTGTATTTCAAAAAAAAGAGATAATGAGCAAGGTGTAACTGTATTTGATTGACTAAGAATGGAATAAAACAGCACGTGATTGGCTGGCACTAGTTAAAAGAAAACACAGTAACAGGACTTCACAATCAAGTTCTGATTCTTTAAAGTTTGTTTTTGTTTTTTGAATTTCGCGCAAAGCTACACGAGGGCTATCTGCGCTAGCCGTCCCTAACTTAGCAGTGTGAGACTAGAGGGAAGGCAGCTAGTCATCACCACCCACCACCAACTCTTGGGCTACTCTTTTACCAACGAATAGTGGGATTGACTGTCACATTACAATGCCCCCATGGCTGAAAGGGCGAGCATGTTTGGTGTGACGGGGATTCGAACCCGCGACCTGCAGATTGCGAGTCGAGTGCCCTAACCACCTGGTCATGCCGGACGTTTCTTTCAAGTCAAAAACAGACTGTCTTCCTGTATAGCTAGAATAAACCTAATGTTAAAGTTCAAAATTTCCACCTTGTATCTGACCAATCAAAAAATTGGCACCATAATGTGAAAATATCTCTGCTTCACATGGCAGTCACAAAGTCATGTAGGATACAATGTAACTATTCCATGAAATAGCAGATAAGCTCATTGACTGGTTAAGCTACAGAAAGTAACATCTCAGATTGAATTTAACACACGACCTCAACCAGATTTACATGTTCAAAATCAGAACTTAGAGAATTTGGAAAAAAGTTTATAGTATACACAAGTAAGAGTAAGGTATGTAGTATTTGGACACTACAGAGGAAACCATAATATTTGTTACCAATTTTTCAGTTTTTATGCTTTTTTTTTTAGAAATAATACTGTAAAAAGTCAAAATATTCATAGACAATCATCATATACATGAAATTATCTTATAATTAGACATTAAACACGCTGAAAACTCTTTACTTTGTAAACAACTGCTACCTCTAAACAAAATGCAAATGCCTGAAATTTTGTTTGCATTGACTTTATTTACCTTAAATTGGTATAAAAAACTTATATTTATTTAAATTAGATAACACTTGAATGACATCTCTGATAATGAATTTTGGTCAATAATCTTGCCAGTCCTCTTAATAAACCTATTCCTATGTTCCAAAATTATAATACTTCTGGCTATGTTTTTCTAATACTTTTTAAAAAATACATGATGTAAAACACTTGTAAGTTGTATAAAAACATGAAAGCTTTTCTAAAACAAAAATACTTTACACAAGGAAGCTGTACTAGCCTTGTTATTATCTCATCGAGACTAACCTCAGTGTTCGAATAATATTCAGAACAACATCCTTGTCATTCTGACACAACTGAAGAGTTAAACACATATCTTTCATTGCACATTCCTTCACTAAAGCCTGTTGTGAGAAGTCATTTTCAGCCAAATTTCTTAAGGTACCTGTAAGCTATTAAACTATTTTAGTACCACAATAAATATTTTTATTATAACCTTCACTGTAATGATATTTGCTGAAAATGGGCCTATTTTAGTATGGTACCTGTAAGCTATTAAACTATTTTAGTACCACAATAAATATTTTTATTATAACTTTCACTGTAATGATATTTGCTGAAAACGGGCCTATTTTAGTATCAGTATATATATACATTTTCTTAAATTGAAAATATATTTGTGATAGATATTTATCTCCTCTCACACAAAGCTTTCTTGACTTATACTGCTCTCTCTCTTTACAAATTTTCACTTGCCACTAAGCTTGATATTCTCACTTATCTGTGCATACTAACACACAAATGATTATGCAGCAACCCTCCATCAATAGGAGAGAGACACTACCACTATTGTAACTAGCACCCTCTCTAATCTTGCAGCTGTTAACCACTTTGAAACTGGTAAGATCACACCAAACCACACCAGAAGTGGGGAGGATGGGTGGGAAATGTGAGAAGAGGTAAGTATCTATCAGAAATACATTTTCAGTTTAAGAAAATGTTAACTTCCAATACAATATCTTACCTCTTGTCACAAAAAGTTAGAATCAAACATTGAACTGGTGGATGACTAGTGAGATGATCTCCCTTGAGGAAGTGCCTAAATAAAAACCATGAGGTGTGAGAAGGAACTAAAAACAACACACCTTGGGAGACTGCACCATTTCTGAACTAGGTATACTCTTTGCCCATTAGTAACATGTTGTTAAAAGGGCAGAAACAGAGGGACTCCAAGAAAAGTTACTGAAATAATGAGACCCCCCCCCTCCCACCTGGTGTAGAGTGGCTAGAATGCAACAGTCTGTAGAGGTGAGTCTGATCTCAACCAACATCTGGAATAGTACATTAGATCTGTGATAGGAAGAGGGTCCTATTCCTTTCATCTCAAGACAAGATAGTGGCAGGGAAGAGGTGCTTTTGTACCAAGAACCCATCTCTGCAGGCACTCACTTCCAATATAACCAGCACCAGATCCACCAGAAGCCGCCATCCAGCAGACAATAGGAAGTTGGAGGACACAGGTGAATGTACATCTCCAGTCCAAAACTTGGTGGCATTGGGAATTTTTCATCCATTTCACGCTAGGAGAAGGGTAATCAGCATTACACCAGCAGGAATTCATGTGTCTCATTCAGTGACAACCAACAATAGATTCACTGGGAACCAACATCCAGTGGACAGTACGAAGTGGGATGGCTATATTTGATGTATCTCCAGTCCAAAACCTGGCAACATTGGGAATTTATTGATGTGAAGAGTTATGTGTTTGGTCCGGCTCCAACCAATACCTGATCCCCAGGAACAGATATCCGGCAGAAGGTAAGAAGGAGGGCACCTCAGCTTGAGAGGCAAACTGCAATACATGGCAGAGTGCTACATCCAACACCTGGTGGCAAGTGACATTTTATATACGGTCCATGTTAGAAAGGGCATCCCACCACCTACACTGGCTGAATGTCACCATCCTACTCAGGAAGACAGGCCACCATGGTCCACCACCCCAGCAGCTAGGAACTGGTAGGTGACAAGGACACCCATACTCCTCAAGAAGAAGGAGAGAAAAAGTGTGTTGGAGAGTCTGGAGGACCACAGCACCAGAGACAATGCTATGGATGATCACAATACCCTATTTTGAAAAGTAGAGTGATCCTGTTAATGGAGTCGATAAACCAAGACCTAGCGATATCGGGAATTGTACATCAGGTCCGTGGTAAGAAGAGCCTCAAATGGCACAAATCATTAGAGATGGGCAGTAATTGCTGTCTGCTTTACACATGTTAGTCCACAAGTGTACAGTCCAGGACTACAAGGTATACCTACGAGTGGTCCTGCAGAACATCCCATCTCAATGGTGGGTGTAATATGACCTGGCATCTGGAATTATACATCAGGTCTGCAGTATGAAGAGTCTCAAAGTCACAGTCATCTAGCATGGTATATGATCACAGGTTGTACAGTGCATATTTAAGGCTAAATATACCTGGTCCAGCAACACTTGCCACAGAATGGAATCCAAATATGCAACAAAGGCCCCTGCAAAGAAAAGAAAATGAATGGAGTGCTTACCACCCACAGATAAACAGTTACAGTACTGATGATGTCTCCCAAGGCAAGATGGAAAGTGTATCCAGGGGCATGGTAAGGTGACAGATCTGATGGGAAGAAAACATGAAAAAGGCAACAATCATCAGGAGAAATGGAAGGGTAATATGAAAAAAGGTTATGGAAAAGGTGAGGATTTCACGAAAGAAACAGACAGACTCAGAAACCACGGAAGGGAACAGTATGTGTCATATACCATTGCAGAGCCCTGACAGGGCAAAGGAGGTGGGCAGGATCAGAACAGTCATAAAGGTGGTAAGGGAAAGAGGTGTGTGAAGGTATAAGTACCCTCTCAAGCAAGCTAAAGTCTTGGGCATAAAGGAATGATCAGGAAAGAGGAGAATGTATGAATTAAGGAAACAAAAACGTGACAAACATCAATCGCTAATACATCAGAACAACAATGTTTGCAAGACAACAAGAACAGAAACAAGGACTTCAAGGAAAGATGATATAATGAACACAAAGACAAAAGTTCCAATGGCCAGAGAAGAGCATGGAGGACCACATAGAGGTGCTAATCAGGAGGGGTAGCAGGGCTGGGAGGATAGGAAAAGCGGAAGGAATGAAACAACATGGATAAGACGACTGGCAACAGGAAAACACAAAGTCGGTAAACATGGCAGATAACACCACCCTATAGTCCACAACAGGAAACCGAAAGGCCCCTTTTAAAAAGCCAAGGCAAAAAAGAATGGTATGTGAGGAACAGTAGGATGGGAAGGATGATAACACCTTAGGACAAACCAACAGAAGTATGTGTACCACGTATGTTGGTAAACTGTCATGGAGAAAGGATGAACAGGACAGGAAATGAAGGAAGCTACATACAAAAGTCAGGCCTTTCAGGCAAGGGACTAGACAAAGCCACATGTGAAGATGGAGTGCAGTTACAGATGGATGACACATGCTGGAGTGTGGCTAATGGGGGTGTGTTGGAGTTAAAGGAAAAGAAAGGGGAGATGACACCAAAAACAGGCACTGCAGCATAAACCATGTGTGAGCTGGCCAATACAGAACCACCAGCAGATCACTACATGAAGCGATCTGAAGTATGGCAAGGACACATGGGAGGAGACAAATAGGAATATATGCATATAGGTACCAACCCAACCAATCCCGGCTGAGAGCATCAACTGCTCCTACCAAAGGATGAGAAATAGGAGACCAAAAATGGGGAAGTGGTGTATTAAAAAAACAAAAGCATTCAAACCTGGCCATCCCACAGAGCACACAAAACCAGAAAAGCATAAGAATTCGAAGACCACTTTAGCAGGGAGAATCTTGTCGGGATAAGATAACTGATCCGCAACCAGATTTAGGACACTCAGATTATGACATGCCAACAAAGTGATGTGATGGTAGTGGGCTCAACACAGAAGATCCAATGTTTGAAAACAGAGGCTTGTTAATCAATTGCTCCTTGCCCAGTGATGTATGAGATTACCATAGAAATGTCAGAGTGGAACATCATCAACCAGCCCCAAAGAGCCCAGAGGAAGTGAATGAAAGCCCAATAAACAGCAATAAGTTCCAAGAGATTGACATATAGAGAGGATTCAGAAAGAGACCATCGCCTGAAACCTCCTGAATGTCAAGATAAACCTCCAAATGAAAGAAAAGCCACTGTAAAAGATGACATTCCAGACAAGGAGGAGTAAGAGGTACATCCATGGTATTATTGTTCCAACTTAATCACCAGTCGAAGTCAGTCTGTAAGGGAGAGAGAGAGAGGAGTACCTAAGGGATTCCAAACAAGGCTCCATTGGAAAGTGGTCTTAGTAGGTCCCCCAAAATGACACACAAATAAAAGGCATGTTCCGGAGGGGGAAAAAGGCTGTCCAAATACAACACTTCCCGATCACTGAAAACCTTGATAGGACAATCCTCAGTTTGTTCTGACTGTTGCATGAAATTGGTCAACTCCCGAAGGACCAGAGCCATCACTTCATGGGCCAAGAACCGTGGTTCCAACCCGTTGGATGTGGTTGGTAATTTCACTGCAGCAGTAACAGCAGTTGTAGTTGTGACCACCCAAAACAGAGAGGAGGAGAGAAGTTAAATGAAAAATTCGTAACACTCCACAAAAGTGAATGAAAACAGTAAAGAACAATGTAATGAAGTAGTAAAACATTAAGAAAGTAAAACCTTTCGGATAAGTGGATCAAACCGTGAGTGAAAACACATCTATTCAATAAGACTGTCAATTGAGAAGTGATTAACAGCTGCAAGATTAGAGAGGGCACTGGTCATGATATGGGTAGTGTCGCACTCCTACTGGTGGAGGGTTGGTGCATAATCTTTTGCATGTTAGTATGCAGAGATAGGTGGGAGTATCAAGGCTAGTGGCAAGCAAAGATTCGCGTTGATAGAGAGCAGTATAAGTTGAGAAGGATTTTTGTGAGAGGAGGTAAAATATTGTATCGGAAAATATTTTTTATTACAACCTTTACTGTAACTATATATTAAAAATGGGAATATTATAAATGGGTACATTTACACATAATTATTGAAACTGATAATGTTATTAGTAGGTAACATCAGACAAATATTTAATATAAAGAACAGTTTCATCATATAAAACAGACTACACCACACACATTAGCTGAACTTGAACTACTGGTGAATCATATGGATATTTTTTCAGTAAGTTTTGAAAACTAGTAAATACTTTTATGCAATCAACTTCGTTTTCACACACTTCTTAATACCCTTAATTTTAATTTGTTTTTTAAATTCCAACTTGTCTGTGCAAAGCATTTTAAACATTTGTAAAGACAAATCTAAATGAGTTAGAAAATGATCCAACATATTCTGTAAAGTCTTACCTGAACAAGTATACTTGAATAAATCTCACCATCTCCACCATTTTGAATCTGCAATCATAATAAATTGCATTATTTGTTTTTATATAGTATTATCAATCACTGTTTAAACAAATGTAATTTGGTGTGTATCTCCAGTATTTTTCATTTCATTCTTTATTTATGCATTATTTGTTTTTATATAATATTATCAATCACTGTTTAAACAAATGTAATTTGGTGTGTATCTCCAGTATTTTTCATTTCATTCTTTATTTATGCATTATTTGTTTTTATATAATATTATCAATCACTGTTTAAACAAATGTAATTTGGTGTGTATCTCCAGTATTTTTCATTTCATTCTCCACCAGTGGGAAGAATTCAATCTTAGAATGCTAAAATTTCTTGCCATTAAGCTAGTAAAACCAACTCTTAAACAGAATATGGGCACACAACCATATCTTTAATTGTAAAAATATAAAGAATGAGCATAACATGGACCTCGATCATTTAGTACCAACTAACTAACATATAGCAAAAAAATTGCATATTAACAATCTCTGTCTGAACTTGTCTAAATTACTACAAGAACTAATTCCACATCTAATTCCAATTCTGGAAATGAGTCTACTGGACACATAGGTAAAATGTCATGAATAAATTCATTCTCTGATATAATTATATACTGTGATAAGCTACATGCTCCCATCTTATTATGCACAGTATTGGTCTCCAATTAGTTTTGCTGATTGGGTCAGAGTTGAGAGGGTAGGCAAAGGTTTGGTGAAGAGTTTTGTTTAACAATTAAAAAATTCAGGAATGAGGTGCTTTTTCACTATCTGATAACTTATTACATATTTAATGAATGTATACAGGCAAAATTTCTGTACTAAATTGTTATCAAACAATTGTTAACAAATGGGTGTGTGGGTCAGAAATCAAGGTTTCAGAAGATGGTTATAGCCCAAGAACTGAGTGTGTGGCTCAGAAATCACGATTTAAGAAGATGGTTACAGCCCAAGAATTGGGTGTGTGGGTCATACAGAAATCAATGTTTCAGAAGATGGTTATAGCCCAAGAACTGAGTGTGTGGCTCAGAAATCACGATTTAAGAAGATGGTTACAGCCCAAGAATTGGGTGTGTGGGTCATACAGAAATCAAAGTTTCAGAAGATGGTTATAGCCCAAGAACTGAGTGTGTGGCTCAGAAATCACGATTTAAGAAGATTGTTACAGCCCAAGAATTCGGTGTGTGGGTCATACAGAAATCAATGTTTCAGAAGATGGTTGATTTTTTACAGCCCAAGAACTTTATAAATGAAACAAAGCCTTATTTCACTTGCACACAAATAAGTAAGTTATGTTCACATCCACAGCAAAATTAACATCTTCTTAACAACTTCATTAAAATTCTGGCGTACCATAATATTTAGATTATTCAGTTGGTACAGCAAGAACTCCAAACAGCCTTTTTTCAATAAGTAGTTTCTGAGTTTTTCATTTCCAGAAAGCAGCTTCCAAGTTGCTGTTATATACATCATGGCATCGGAAGTAACTTCAGGATGGATTGTTTGAACAAATGCTAAATAGGTTGCTATAATAAAAATACACAATCCTAAATTAGTTCACATACCATGTTATCTTATCTATTTCTTAACAAAAATGCCTACAATTTGATTATACTTTCTACTTTTGATGTTTTAGTGGTTGTACTTGTCATTTTATTTATTAGCATAGTTGGCTTTAGTTTTTTACCTTTTGGTATTTAATGATTAGTCACCAGATTTATGAAAGGATTACACTAAGTGATTCTCCTATAAACAATGATGGTTTACTACGAAGTCTAACTAAGTTCTTGAAAGACTTAACCTTGTCTCCTACCACTGTCTGTTTGTTTGTTTTTTACTTATAAAAAATAGTAGATTCTTTTATGAAGCACAGCTATATGTTTGAAACATGTTTACATCCATAGTTAGTTTTTCTTCTGTCATCACTTTCTAAACTTCAGTAGGCTATCTACTGATATAAATAGTAAATACATTGCTATATTAACCTGTAAAAATTCTATTATTAAATAAAAGGCACGTATATTATATGAAGTTAAATAAAATTGACAACAAAAACTAAAAATCAAACCTAACTATACTTATTCATAACCCATATGTAAGACTACATAACATTTCTAAAGAGGTTGTTTTAAGGAAGAACATCTTATACAACACATATGATAAACACAGATATAAGCTAGATACAGGGTAATAAAAGCAAAAAAATGTATAAAATGTAAAAGGTATAACACATCATCTGAGAAATGAATTTAAACTTCTAAAACTTGAGTCATTTATTAAGTTTATTTATGATAGATGGATAAATATCTGAATCCTAGTTTTAAATGACAATACAAGAGTCATTAGGCTTATAATTCACCAAATAGTACGTCAATATAACTTCATTAATACTACATGTATCTCCTGATATTCAAAGATTGTAAAACCCGAAGATCACACCCCTGGTTTCAAATTTCTCACTTGCTAGTTACAATATTCCACAAGTGGATACTTGCATGTGACAAAGAATTACATTAAAATATAAAACTAACATTAAATTATTGAATGTTTGAAGTCATTACATGCTGATTCCTGTTTGATTGGGATCATTTTCTCTCTTTATTATGCATTAAATGCAGATTTTCCATCCGATTATTTCCATCCGCAAAATTTGAGCTCTTCACCAATCATCTCCATTACAGTAAACAAAGATTATTAATGTTGTCCCTGAGAGATAATGAATAGATCAATATAAATTTCTCCTGAAACTCAAACATTAACGCAGAGATCATTAAAAGGACTCTCAGTTATGCCATGTCAAATACCAAAGAAATAAATTGCCTGAACACACATTACAGTTGCACAAGTTCAACCATACAAGAACAAAGGTAAGAAGTTCTTATGCAGTAGTATCTGCAGAATATAGAAATCAACCTTGTCTGTAAAGCTCTGGCTGACAATTCTCACTGTTGCACAATAAGTTATGGAACTCTTAATTATATCATAATGATTATTGGTCATGAAACTGTATCTACTGTCTTACGTTGAAGACTAGTAATAGTCAATGAAGTTTAATTGCGATTAAACTTGCAATAACAACAGTATGAAGTAAAAACTATTCTCAGCATTGGAAGGGAAAAAAAAAGAAGCTCAGAAGTGACAAACCACATCACCACACTTTTTTCTTTAAATGAAAAACACTATACAAGTAACACACAATTCACCAGTTATTAAAGAGGGCCTGCCCTTTGAAAAACTACTTACAAACAGAATAAAAACGATGATATCAATATAACTTGAGAGAATGGTAAACTTATGTTTCCAGTGGTAAAATATTATGGTACTGTACCTAAACATTTTGTGCTAAGAAAAAGGCTGTCATTTTTTTCTTCTTTGCTGATCTTGTACACAGCTTTACAAACAGATGTTAAATTTCTCCCACTCACCTTCAGCTAAAGAAGTAAACATTATTTTAAATGAAACACCTGTAAAGATAATATCAGGATACATGTAAGTAAAATTATACAAAAAGCTAGCCAATAAATAATACTGTAAAAATATTTAATTTAAAAATGCAAATAGTACTGGTAAATAAACATTTATAATCAAGAAAACAATAAATACTTCAAGTAATCAAATATGTCATAAAAAACATTAGCTAAATATTTAAGTTATAAGTTTAAAATAAATATTGATAACACAATTGAGAAAAAAGGATCAAGATTTCAAAACAATAAATATTTAACACAATCATTAAAGAAAGACAGATGTAAGTCATTTCGATAAATAACCATTTATTTTTCAGGCTAGTCTTTGCTAATTAATGATTGTTAATCAAATTATATTTCAAATAACATTTACACTTAAGGTTTTATCAAATATATGAATACTTAATTACCTGAGTTTTTAAATTATATTACAAAAAATATAATTATTATTTATCAAAGTAACCTTGTAATAATCTCAAGTAATTTGCTGCTACAACCAGAATTAGACAAATTATAATACATTGACAACCACAGAAATCCAAAGTGTGACTTTCAAACTATTGAAATATGTGTCTGGCCAGAACTTGAAACTAACATTAATGAACAATACAATACATAAATACAAAAGTATTTCAATAAATAAATAAAGAAATCAGGAACAAAAAGAATCAGACAAACAAAAAAACCTAATTCCAAAATATCAACATTCCATTGTATATAAACTACAAGATCACTAACAACACTGAGTAATAACCATCGATAATACCCTTCAGTTATACCTTGTGAACTAACTTGTTACGGCTAACTTGTAGGGTTTTATTCACTTGTTAGATCACAAATCATGTGATCGTAATTTACATACTCTTGTGCATAATATCTGTACATAACTTACATACTCCTGTGCAACATTAATGATATCTGTATGTCACTGTTATCGGAAATGTCAGTCTCAAAATACACTCAAAATAGACATTTCAAATGTAACTAAAAATTCATAGATAAAACTAAACGATAGACAGACTAATAAATGAATGATAAACAAAATCATAACCAAATAAAAACAGAATTTGCTATCTCACAACCAGTTGTTAAGAAATGTTATTTTTCTCTCTAATCATCAAAATTATAAATTATGGAAACAAAAAAGTAAAGCCCACACTATTCTTGGATTTGTTACCTAACTCCAAGTTTAGACCAATTTCAGGAATTCTGCTCCTCATCAACAACCCTGTATGACAGCAAACTGAAGAACAGTGCTAGGTCCCTTGTAGAAACAAACTATACTCAAACACTGAACACTTAATCTGTTGAGTTGCAAGTCTCATATAACCATATCAAATGATAGTTTAGCTATTCCCCCAGCAACCTTGTATCAAGTGAGAGTTTAGCGTAGATGCCCATGTGATCTGAATACTGGATCAGTTATCTCAACCAGCAGAATACGAGTCTCTTAAATCTCTCAAGTAGCTTAAATTATGAAATGAGGTTCATCTAAAATAATAATATTTTTCAGTAGTTTCACTCCTATTTTCGAATTTGTAAAGATAAGTTGTATTTTTCCTTTTATTAATGAGTTTTGTTATTCACATAGCAGTCATCATGGCTTAAGGAAAATCTCATTTTCAGCAAGAGTCGAGTTGTGCACCAATTTTTGTCAATGACAGAGCCAATCCAACTTGAAAACAACCAAAATTAAATATTTAATCCTTATTTAGTAGAATAACACCCTTAAACATCAGAATTCTTTAACGTGCCCTACAAATAGCCAAACTCTTAAGTGATGCATGGCTACCAGGCATACATTCATACTCTCATTTAGTCCATGAATAGCCTCTGTACGGTTTCATAGATTTGTGTCATAAACAATAAATGCTGACTTCACACAATAATAGAAACAGATCTTCAAGCAGTGCTTGCCTCATATAAATTCCTATATTGAACTGACTTTTATAATTAAAAGGAAAAGCAAAGAATTCTATTTCTGTAAGTATACATTTTTTTTACAGACTGAAGCTTTCAAAACCAGGCTTTCATAGACTATTACAAGCTCTTAAAACTATTATAAAGGCTTTGAAGGTTACACTTCTGGAAAAAAGTTTTAAAGGTTTACTAGGACGCCTGTAAATATTTATGAGATCAATAGGTACCAATAGGTGACATAGTTTTGATCTGTCAATGATAAGCCTCTTATGGTCCCTCATATACTTGGTAATATTTAATTAGTTAGTTACAATGAAACTCATGCATATTTCATGAAAATAAAACATTGATTTTGAAAAAATTTTAGCATGAGAAAAAGTAAAAAGATAACTTTTGTCCCTTTTATACACCCTATAACAACCAGGAACTATAAAATAAGAATTAGATGACATTTTTAGGAACAACAACCAAGTAAACCATAGTCACAAGTATGTACATTTCATGTGTCACCTGGTGGTCAACACTCTATTTCCCATAATCCTCTGCCTGAATGATTTTATTAGCAGAATCACTATTTTACTACTAATCAAGAAAGAGACAGTGATAAAAGAATTATCATTGCCTGAACTATTTTAAAGATATATTCCATTCAGAAATTGTTAATCAAATAAAATTACCCCGAAAAGAATTGAAGCAAGATCTGAATTTACTAATTTAATTAACATTGACCTGAAATATGACTCTGGCCACTAAAAGACTTTTCTGGGGTTGAGCTGGATCTAACAGCTTGTATAAAACTCTCAGAAGTGAGCTACGGAGTTTGAAGCTCTGCTCTTTCAGTCCACTCTCTTCCAGAAGTCGATATAATTGCTGAAGTACTTTTTCTACGTGTGGGTCAGTTTTATCTTAGAAGTAAAGAAAAACTGAGCAATAACAAAAAAGAATTACATTAGATAAAAAATTATTATCAAAGATACCAGTGCATGAATATTTTTCTTCAAAACAATAACTTGGTTTCAGAAGACATTTCTACAATTCTTTGTGCAGAAGCTTATTGCAATCATATCAATGGCTTAAAACCTCACAGTTTAAAATAGCAAATGTTAGAACATCAGTAGAATGTGAGATTACAACATTAGTGAACCATGATTTATAGCTGAGTTACATAATTAAATTATCATGTTAGTGTATCAGTGTGAACTTTACGATAATGCAATTTAGTTTTCAAAATATTACATATTTGATTTTTGTCACAGTATAAAATACCTTAACAAACACAATAATATTTAGTGGTGGTAGAGTTAATTACATGATGTATTTTCAAAGTTACATTTTGACTGATTCATTATTCAAAGGATGTAATTTATCATATGTGCAAAAAAACTCTGATTACAAGTTTTGTAGCAAAAACATTTGTTGATTTCATAAACCCCAAGATTATTCCACGAACAATTTAATGCTATGCATTATAAACATATCTTTTAACTTACCGTTATAGCTTTTTTAGACCACATACAAGTATACATTTTCATTTACCTTCATATCTATCCATATTTAGCTGTTCCATTAGTGCTGTTAATCTTTGCACAAGTTTTTGGGTTTCAGGATCCTTTTGTTTGACATATCCATTATCAGGTATAGTTCCATCTTTAACATTTTTCAAGATACCAATATCAACATCTTGTTTAGTTGTGTCCCCAGATGCTCTTCTCCTGACTGTAATATTTCTAATTAATGAAAAAATGGATAAACATTATGAAATTTTGGTAAAAGGTTGTCATGTTTTTTTTATATATATGTATGAAGTTTTATGAAACTAACCTAATAACCATAAATCACAGAAATTAAAATAAGATAATTCAAAGATTAAATTATGCTGACTAAAGTGGAGATTAGATATGTGAAAACTTATATTTATAAGTGAAGAGTAAAGTTGTGTTTCAAGTGAAAGTGGACTATGTCTTCTTACTACACCATCAAATTTCATTCACCAATGGCTTCTTGCAGCTAACACTACATTTATTAGTCTATTCCATCTATTGACTAATTCATTCTGCCATTAGATTTATTCAAACAACAAATAATTCACTGAATAAAAACAAATGTTCACTTCCACATGACTTAATTAAGTAACTGATGTTGTTGGTTGTGATAAAATTGAAATCAGCAGATCCTCATCTTAACACTACACTACAATATTCAGACATACATTTTAGGATGACAAATTTGGCAAGTTCCTAATACAGATCTAAGAGTAATACACAATTTTCAAACCAAAAAAATAAGTTCACTATCACATTCTTCTGTTGCTTTAAATAAACATCATGATTTTACAAAGCTGCCATTATTACACTGTCTTATTCTTTCAGTTAATACCAGTCAATTGCCAGTCTGTGGTGTATTTACCGCTCTGGTAAAGATACCACCTACTAGCTTTGATTAACCCAACTACCTCTAGAGCATCAAAACTCACGGTCAGGTCTAGTGGGGTGGGAGTAGCAGGGGGTTATTAAGACAAGTTGAAGCCAAGACTAACTGAAATATAGAATGTATGAGTAATGTAGAAATAAATAAACATATAAATGTAGGAAACAGTAAATAAATATTTTAATTATTTAACTAATACATAAAATGTAGCAATACATACACATATCAATATAATTTTTAATTCTGAGAATATTTATTTAGTCATTTACTTATTTATTTTTAATTTTGGCATAAAATATCCTACATACAAATGAGCATTAAGAAACTGAAGAAAACATGATAATACTAATAATATTCCTTATTAATCCTTACTAATATAAAAACTATCTTTCAGATTAGGTTACACAATTAAAAAATAAACTGAAGCAATTTCTAATAAACAAAACAAAAAGTGTTAACTGTATTTGAACCAGATCAGATTGAACAAATTTTTACAACCTTTTTTTCAAACAATGTCCAGGTTGTTTGTTCTCATGTACATCTCTACTGCTTTCCTCAAAAAAATCTTGACTATTTTCTTTGAATTTTTCTCTCTCAGTTTCAGTCTTTATGATATTTTCTTTCACTGTGTATCCTATATAAAGTCAACAATATTAATTTGTATGAATAATTAAATCCATGAAACTCACAATATAAAGTAAATTTAAACAGTGCAATTATCAAATTATCATTTTAAGTTACACAGAAAGGTATATTTAAGCTAAACAACTACTGACATACTAATGAAGTTTTCATATATTTCCTTTTTATTGATCTAAAAGTTATTATACAAATTTAATTAATTTGAAAGCGTTCAGGCTATGTGGTTTTGTATTTTTTGTGTTTAATTGAATTTTTTAACCTATGTATGTTTCCTAACATCATACAATAATTATTTGTTATTGCATTATGTGATACAACATTTTGTCTTTTGTTTCATTACACTCATTATGTAAAAAAAAAGATAATTAGGCTGTAGCTAACAATTTTATACCTTATTGAGTAATTTTATATTTTTGACTTTTAAAAATATGAAAGGTGGGCCTTTCTTCAACAGCAGCAAACTGATGAAGAAAGGTCCACCTCTCGAAAGTGCTCGGGTTTTGGGGTTTTGTATTAAATAATTATTGTAATATGTGCTTAAATAAGAAAATAAGAATTTGGTCAGTATCTTCAATTACTGACTAGCAGTTAAAAGATCAATCACTTTATTAACAGATAACATTGATAAGAATTTTGAACAGGAAAAAATTATAACTTTCCTTCCACTTGGTTATACATTGAGCTGAATTTTAAGTACTTTCTGAAATATCTACTTACCAAAGCAATGGTTCATTCCATTATTGTGATCATTTCTTGTTGGCTTACTTCTATCCAAATTGACTATTGGCACTTGCTTTGCTATAGGTTCAAGCTGAAGTTCAGTTTGGTCAGTATCTTCAATTACTGACTAGCAGTTAAAAGATCAATCACTTTATTAACAGATAACATTGATAAAAAATTTAATATCAACATAAAATAACAAATTTGTTTTGTATTTAAAGGTTAGAATACTAAGTCATAAAGTTTTGATACCATGGAATTTGATGGACTACTGTGTAGTTAAGAGCACTGAATTGCTTTATCTGGCTCAACAAGCCAAAAATTTACAAACATCTAAACACACACCTTGATATTAATGTTTTTCTGTCATAAGAAAGATAGTTGAAGAAATTAAAAACACAATAATTCAATGTCACCACATTCATGTCAAGTCCATAATAAAGTTATAATGGGCACTTGTAACACATAGACATCCATGTACAGTGAAGAATCTGCAGAAGATCTGTCGAGAAGATTGTTTAAGGAATCTGTGGTGCTAGAAATAGAGAGTATTGAGTACAATCAATGATGAAAGACGTAGAAATACTGAAAGCACAGCACTTGGAAAATCGTTCTTATAAATTAAAAATAAACTAAAATTTAGTTTCACTGTTTTTATGTGCAATATACAACTAGTGTCATGTTTCTAATGTGGTGCTTAATTTGTAATTATTTTTCTAAAAATACAGAACAATAAATAAAAGATATGTAGAAAAACAATGATTTCTAGAACTTACAATAATTTGTACTTGTACATTGTACTTGCTAAGCGTCGTTTATTCTCCCAAGTGGAAGGGGAAGACAAATTAATTTTTGTAGATTTCAAAGATGTATTTTAGAAAACCAAAAAATTATCAATTACTATACTGGTACACATAAAATCACTAATTTATCTGGCTTTCTAAGTAGGCTATATGTGGGTTAAAAAAATTTCATTTCTGTTCAGACTTCAGCATTTGCAGTAAAACTCTGGCTTTCTCTTTAAGCCAATTACAAATGACTGTCAGATTTATGTAGCTTGGAATGTGTTATTTTTATTGGTTATAAACATGTACCTAAGAGAAGTAGGTGTGAGTACGTATGAGGTTTAAAAAATGTAGTAGTGGGAAGGGCTATTCTGGTGTATTTGCTAAATATATTGATATCTCAGGTGGGAGTTTCTTATTTTATACTCTAGCTTGTCACTGTCTGAAATCTGAGTTTCTAATTTGTTATCTACTATAGACATTGTATGGTAACATAATACAATATAAACTGACAAATAAGACATGAGAAGATGCCATGTGACGCACACAAAAAAGGATAGTTCGTATTTTGTTTTTAATATTCTCTTTCAAATTAAGACATTAAACATGCATAATATTAAAGTTGTTTAATTATATTTTGAAAATAACTCGCTAAAATTACATGCACCCTTTGACCTGACCATAGCAAGAAGATAAGGATTAAGTTATTTCATACCTTTTTTCCCCTCAAAGGGATCAATTTAACACCAGTTGTTGGTCTGCTTTCTAACGGATCATACTGCAAAGCATCAATGCTGAGAACAGAAAACATTATAAATATAACAATATTAAATCAAAACAATAATTCTTAGAATTAAAACTAAGTCACAAACTAAGTCACTAAGTTACGAAGAGAAGGCAAGCAACAAAAACGTGGACAATCCCTCGCCCCAACCTGAAGAAGCATAAAATGCAACAGATCAAACTCAAAATTACAGGACCTGTCATGCCACACTCACGAAACATCGAATTCCCAGTCTGTGATTTCAAATGGAAATCCTAACTTCCAAACCTGAGAGGCAAGGCAACACCTCCTGTCCCCAGAATTACGACAAGGATATGGAAGAAAATAAGTCCCACCTATAGCACAGGAATTACAAGGTCCCTCTTCCATGATCGTCGAAACGAAAAGAATGACCAAAAAGAAGGGCCATGCTCAACTCAACCATACAGTGAAGTGTCATCTTTTGACAAGGAGACTCCTGCATTGGCTGATCCTGCTCATACCATACATTTGAGAAAATCAAATTTGGTAGGATGGCACCCAGCTTTGCCCTCTTCTCCTTGAGTGGAATAATGAGTTCAAGCATCATTCAAGAAAAAAAAACCTCTGTCCACCACCCCAGTAACTGGAAACTTGGAGTGGTAAAGAATCCCACACTCTACTAAGAGAAATGGGGAGGGGAACACTTGCATTGGGGAGTCCCAAGGAACGATTCTCCAGAGATAGTGCAATAGGTGAGCCACATTCCCTATTTTGAAAAACAAACCGACCCTGATTTATTCATTCTATGGGTCAGCAGGGATGGGCAAAATACCCTTAAGCTTTACTCATGATAGTCCATGAGTGGCAGTCCAGTAGTGTATTTGTCTGTGTGTTATAATTATTTTATTGGTCAACTGGTAGCTAGTACTAATTTGGAAATATGAATACCTGACCAGGGAACACCCGCCACAGAGTGGGATCCAAATGAAAAGGATAAGAGGGTCCCTGAAAAAGAACAGAAATAAACAAAAAAAAAATGAAGTCACTCCCCTCTTTTATAAACTAGCCGGGGCATGGAGAATAGCCATAGGGGGTAGCTGAAAACCTTCTAAGGAGACAACTGTGTTCCTCCAATGAAAGCCCAAAGAAACAATACACACCAACTGATGAACCCAACCTGTCAAAGAGACAGAGAATAAGTCACATGACACATTAGGATCCCAATGGATAAACAAACGGTGATGTGAACTCCAAAAATTCTTCAGTACACACAATATAAGAAGAGCCTGAACTGGGCATAAGAGAAGATCTGGATCTGAGCATTCATAACAATGAGAAATGAAGGGAAGATGGATAGGAGAGAAAGCCTTATTTCACATCAACAACCAATCATAAAAAGTAGTTACATTTCTGAAAAACATTACACTTCAAAAATATTCATTGATCTTTAAAAATTGAAAATTGCAATGACTAAAAAGATAATAAATTTCAAAACCAACCTGGAAATACTAGGACGGCGATGAAGAAGAGGACTTTCATTCTGCAACCTTTAAAGTAAAACACAAAAATACCTTTAAAAATTAATGCGCATTTCAGTAATGTATTAAAACTGAGAAAGAATAAAATGTAAGGACTTTATTGTACAAATCTACATATTCACCATAAACTGAATAAATTTCAGATGCTAAATAATAATAACGAATTGGTTCAGAAATGCAATGAAAAATTCTTGATATTTGTGTGGAATTTTTTCATTACATGTAGTTTTAGAATTTAATACAATATGTGGATAAAAAAAAAGAGAACCGAATAAGAAATCAACTACTAAGCATTTAATTAAAGAATTCAATTATTGAAAATTCTGCAAGTACTGGCCACAGCATTTGAACGTAGTAACAACTGAATGACAAAAACTATTTTAAACTAGTAATTAATGATCTATTTCAAATATCTTAACTATTTTTGAACCTGAATCAGATCTTATCCAGTATACTTCTTTAATACATTCAAATAAACAGCAGATTTACTCACACTTTCCTCTACAATTATAACCTTTTTCTTACATAACACCAACATTTACATCGCACCAAATTTTCTTCCATATTCCTACAAATAAAATTCTCATTCACACCTTGTGACAATAATGTTCATCTCTTCAATTATAAATTTAAAAATCAGCTGCTCTAAAAGTAACAAAAATTCTCCAGAACATCAGCCCTACCCAACTAAGAGATTTCAAGATGAATTCCTAACCAAATTGGCTATGTTAATTCAATGATTAGCATATTCAGATTGCTAGACCTTTTGACACATCAAATTACTAAACTGCACAGTACATCTTGTTAAGAATTAGTTACTTTAACGTAAATTAAATTCAAAAGAAGCATTTTGATGCTTCCACATATTTAATCACAGGCCTATTAAATAGCAGAATTGCTATTATTCCCTTTTTATTTTCTGAAAACGTGTCATAAAGTGATGTCTGGTGTATTTAAAACTATGTGTATTTGGAAAATTAATTAGTAATATTATTGTTCCTAATGGTATAATTTTATTTTCTCTACAGTGTTTAAAAGCTTACGTTTCAATAAATACACTTGGATGAACAATATACACGTAATTATTAAGTGTTATTCACTTTAATTCAGATGTGTATAGGTATTAAAAGCATATAAATAAAAATTATATGGTTAAACATTTAAGTATTACAACTTTCCCAAAGAAAACTAATGTGAAACAGTGGACAAAAACAAACAAACAATGTCACTTAATACAAGGATGACTTCAAATATTAATCTAACCTTTTCTTTTCAGCGGGGGTAAAAGGTCGTTTGGTCTCAACACTTCTTATTGCAGCTCGAGCTTCACTCACTATCTCCGCACTGGTTTTTCGGTTTTTGGGAAGAGCATAAAATGGTCGTTTGCTTGATTTATTCATCTTCATTTAGTTTATCTTTGTTTCCACTCACATTAACTATGAAAAATAAAGAATATCTATTTAAAAATATCTGCTAAATAAAAATACATTT